ACTATAAAATAAAGATAAAGAAATAAATACTATACAACAGAGATAAGTAGATAAATACTAGAACTAAAGATAAATGGATAAATGCTATAAATAGAGATAAAGAAATAAATACTATAAATAGAGATAAAGAAATAAATACTATAAATAGAGATAAAGAAATAAATACTATAAATTAGAAATGAATAAATAAATACTATAAAATGAAGATAAAGAAATAATTACTATAAAATGAAGATAAAGAAATAATTACTATAGAATAGAAATAAAAAAATCCTATAAAATAAAGATAAATATAACTAATAAATATAACAATAAAACAGAGACAAACTAATAAATCCTAAAAAAAAGATTAAAACAAATAACTAAATGATATAAAATAAAGATAAAGAAATAAATAATACGAAATAATGAAGCAGAAGCAATAAGGAAAAGAACAACAAAAGATGCATAACGACGCAAGAAAATAAACGTTAAAAGCAGAAGAGAATAAAACATAAGGATAAATAAATGAATATACATCAAAGGGATAAATATAATAAATAAATAAATGTAATGAATAAATACGTATATAATAAATAGATAAATAAATATGATGAATGCATTAATATAATAAATAAATAAATATGATAAATAAATAAATAAATGTAATAAATGAATACATAATAAATAAATAAATAAATATAATAAACAAAATAAATAAAATAAACAAACAAATATGATAAACAAACAAATACATAATAACTAAATAAATTATAAATAATACGTGAAACGGTTCTTTTCTTAAGCATTAAAAAAGGAAAACGTAGGAGAAATTCGAAGATAAAGAGGGAGAGAAGAACTTAGCAATAAAGTCGAGAGGAATGATTCACTAAATAGCAAAGAGATAGACGGAAAAAAAAAAAAATTAATAAAAATAAATAAATAAATAATAAAAAAAAAAAAAAAAAAAAAAAATATATATATATATATATATATATATATATATATATATATATATATATAATCCTTTATGATATTATTGTTATTGTTGTTGATAGTATTAGCATTAAATTACCATTATTGTGATAATTATTATCAGAGTTTCTATTACTACCAATTTATTTATTCATTTATATATATAACGAGAAAATAATATATATATAAAACGAGAAAATGATATATATATAAAACGAGAAAATATATTATTCCCTTGAAATGCATTAGAGCTTTCTCTATTCTTAAGATAAGAATAGAGAAATAGATAAAGGATAAACGGCGGAAGAGAGAAGGGGGAAAGACGAATGGGAATAAATAAAACACAAAAAGTAACGCAGCAAATAATAATAATGATAATAAAAATATAAATAAAAAGTTTTAATAATTTAGGCAGGAATACGTAGAAATAAAATGATGATCAACAGGAAGATAAAAATGAAATAAAATAAAATGGATATAGAAAAAGGATTTTTGTTTTAGATTTTATATCAAAAAAGAAAAAAGAAAAAAGAAAAAAGAAAAAAAAAGAAAAAAAGAAAAAAAAAAAAAAAATATATATATATATATATATATATATATATATATATATATATATATATATATATATATATATATATATATATAATGCAAGAGAAACTGTAGAAATATGAATATTAACCAAAATTATTTAAAAAGAAAAAAAGGAACAAGAACAAAATCCTTAGAAGGCAAACGAGAAATGGAAAATAATAGGAATAAAAAGCTAAAAAAAAATAGAAGAGAAAAGAAAGATAATGAATCAAAATGACAAAGAACAAAAGAGCGGAGATAAAAAAAAGATAAATCCTATAAAAACACAACAGAAATGTAAATGAAAAAGAAAACCAAAAAAGAAGAAGAAGAAGAAAAAAAACAAGAAAAAAAAACAGACAAAGGAATGAATCGTGTAAAAGGGAAGAGATAATAAATACGAATTATCATAAACGAGGAAGAAATCATCGTTGTTATTATTTATGCTCTTATTCCTCCTTTCGTTCTTCTGTGGTAAATTATTGTTATTTTCGTTGTTTTTATCAATATTATCTTTTACTTCTGCTATTTTTATCTCTCGTTTTTATCATTCATTATTGGCATTATCCTTATTAACTTTTTCGTTAATACCAGAATTAGTAGCAATAGTACCAGTTGCTGTGGTACTATTGTTGCAATGCTGTTACTTTTTTATATATTTTGTTATTGTTCATAGTATTGTTTTAATAATACTATGACTGTTTTAGTATATTTTGTTACTGTTCATAGCTATGCTTTTAATAATACTATGATTGTTTTAGTACATTTCGTTATTGTTCATAGCATCGTTTTCAATGATACTATGACTTTTTTGTTCCTTTTGTTATTGTTCATAGCATCGTTTTCAATGATACTATGACTTTTTTGTTCCTTTTGTTATTGTTCATAGCATTGTTTATATTGCCCCAAAAATGTATTATTTTCAGGCAATGTATATCTTTCTATTGAGTTTGTAATTATTGTGATTACTATGTTTATATCCATGTCCTTGTATTTTCTTTGCCACAGTTTTTCTTGTACAAAATCATACTGACCAAAGGAAAACTACAATAAAAACTTAGTTTGAAGAAATATCACAAATCAGATGAAAGGTTTAAGGAAATGAAAGTTAGGAAAAACGTCAGAGAGACATTAAACTCTTTGGAGAAAACTAGAAAGAGATTTAAAAATGAAATAACTTCAATTACAAGAAACGAATTAAGAATATAGGGAATATTAAGAATATATTTTCTTAATCAATTAGATTGAAGATTGAAGAGCCAAACCATGAATGAACAGAGAATTATTCGCTAATGATCAGGGAAAATCTTATGTACTGGATGACACGTGTAGAAATATGAGAAAAAAAAAGTTTATTACACGTTAAACTACAGAGCCGTCTCTTGCTCCGGCCACAGGGACACGTTGCACACTCCACCATGCTCAACAAACTCCGCGGGTTGAAAAATGTTGCACACTCCACCATGCTCAACAAACTGTGCGGTTTTACCCAGAACACCGATCATACCAGACTTACACATGCTACCGTTTTTTTTTTATCCGAATGTCATGTCAAAAATGTCTTTTTTATAGAGAGATTGAGATTAATGTCTAAGAAATAAATGATCAATTGTCTGCTAGAACACGATATTTATCACAGACAGGAAGCTTTTGTCGGAAAATATTACTCACTTTCGAAAATGTTATTTACAAACTTACCAGATGATTAAAAATTTATTTCTAAAACTCGCGATCGTTAAATAAATCTCGATCGTTAAATATCTGAATTCCTCATGTTATTATAATTATTGTTGTTGTTGTTGCTGTTGTTGTTGTTGTTGTTGTTGTTGTTGTTGCTGTTGCTGTTGCTGTTGTTGCTTTTGTTGTTGCTGTTGCTATTGTTGTTGTTGTTGTTGTTGTTGTTGTTGATGTTGATGTTGATGTTGATGTTGATGTTGTTGTTGTTGATGTTGATGTTGATGTTGATGTTGATGTTGATGTTGATGTTGATGTTGATGTTGATGTTGATGTTGCTGTTGCTGTTGCTGTTGCTGTTGCTGTTGATGTTGATGTTGCTGTTGCTGTTGCTGTTGCTGTTGCTGTTGTTGTTGTTGTTGTTATTCATGAACAATAAAACACCCTACTGTGTTCCTCTCCCCTCGCCCTCTTATAAGCTTGCCTTTCTCTCTCTCTCTCTCTCCCTCAACTTCAGACCTGGAGATGAAATCCAAGATGTTTCCCAAACTGTCTTCTCACCTTTTCTTAACCCATTTTGTTTGTCCTTTTTATCACCTTTGTTGTTCTATTACTGTTGCATTTGCCGTTGCATGAAGTTAGGAAATACAACAAAAGCTTCATCATAAATACCAATTTCTCTAACACACTGAGAAGACAATTAAGAAGTAATAAAAACTAAAGCGGATGTCCTTTTTCAAGCGGATATTAAAATATAGAGATTGAACATTTTCTTCGTGATTATGTTTTTTCCTACATTTTGTTTTTACATCATTTTGAAATAGTCCTTGAGATTTATGCTTTCATTTCAAAATGTATGTACAGGGAATCAATTCACATAATATATGTAGCCGAGGGGTTTCATGTATGCGAAAGAACACGAACTTAGAATAATGGTAAAAGAAATAATAATAATAATAATAATAATAATAATAATAAAACAGAAAAGGAAGGAAAAGAAATAATGGCTTAAGAAATTAACATAGCAAAATAAAAATTTTGGTTGAAAGGGTCGCCCAAAAATGCAATGCAATGTATAAGCACGTGATATATGGAAAAGATTCTCCATTGTTGCAACAGAGAGATGGACTATAAGTAACTATGAATAAAATACTAAGAAAGGACGAATGGAAATAATGAAATTAGTAACGAAATACTAAATACATAAGATTCCACGTTAGTAAAAAAAAAATAAATAAATAAATAAAAAAAATATATATATAAAAAATAAAAAAAAAATACACATCAGAAACTATTTAAATGCTAAGTATAAAAATAAGAAAATTAGAAATACTCAACAGAAAATGCTTTAAAACGACAGAAGAATTAAGAATACTGATGAAATGAATAATATAATAACCCATAGTGACTTTAGAAGAATTGACACCCCCCCTTCCCTCCCTCCCCTTCTATAAAAATTTTCATGTTAAACTCTTGCAGGACACTATTAAGGAATAAGAAAGTAAAAATAAACGAAAGATTAGCTATAAAGAGAGACAGATTGAAAGAGCCGACTTGAAAAAATTTATAAATTGGAAAAGAATGATAAAAATTGTTATATATCAATCAATCAGTATTCTATTATATATCAAGAGCGACGAAAAAAAATATAAATGAAGAGAATATGATTTACTTACGAATAGGTAGAGAGAAGTACCACGTAAAGAAAGCAGACACAAATAAAAAAAAATCTTACACGTTAACCTTATACGTTGAACTACATCGCTGTCTCTCGCACCCGGGGAAACGTTGCACACTCCATCATGCTCAACCAACTCCGCGGATTGAGAAATGTTGCACACTCAACCATGCTCAACCAACTCCGCGGATTGAGAAATGTTGCACACTCAACTATACTCAACCAACTCCGCGTCTCGACCCAGAATACCAATCATATTAGAATTAATGTTCATAGTGTGGTTTATTTTCCCAATGATCAAAGTTGTCTTTTTCAAGATTTTTTTTATATCCGGTGATTATTAAATTGCAGTGGAAAGATGATGCTTAGATTAAAATCTGAAGAGGAATCAAAATTTAGCGATTGTCTGATAGAAAATGGGAAAAAAACTAATCGCAACGGGAAATATGATCCGCCCGCCCTCTGTTGTCTCAGTCGACAAGTTTCACTGGAGTTCTATATAAATTCGAAATCGTTTTCTATATAATGATGTTGTCTATGATGTCCATGTTATTATGAATGGTATAGCACTAATGTTTTACATATTTCCCTCTTCCGCTGCTTTTCAGACCTGAAGATAAATTCCCTGTTGCCTCACCTATCAATTTAGCAATTTGGTATTCATTCGTTCACGAAAAGGGAAGATCATTGGGCCGATCAGCCGTGGCATCCCTAACGATCCTATTTGGGATGTGGTCAGGAGCTATCACGGAAGCTAACTAAAGGCCCCCCAAGTTTGTTTTTTTCTCTACTCGTAGTTCCATTTAACTAGGAATGCTGTCTTTGTCGTTTGTTCAGGAGGACTAAACTTCCGCCAGACATATTCTACATCTGCCGTGAATTACCAATTGCACTGATTGTCTTCTACAGAAACCACTGCCCTGTAACCAGCAGTTTCACCGTAACCCTTTTCATTACTGTCCTGTTAATGCTACACTTGTTAATACTATCAGATTAGCATAGTGTTTCTCAACCTGTGAGTCACGACACACAAGTGTATCACGATTACCTATCAAGTGTATTACATAAGGTTTTGCAGACGCGTATTTGTTTGCCCTTAAAATAACTACCTTTTTAGTCTGACACATCAGTGAAATGTTGGAATAAACTAAAGTTCCTATTGGTTAGAGCTTATAAAAAATAGAATAGTTTACAGCAGCTTGTACAATTATAAGTATAAATTTATAACATTTTCGTATTTGTAAATTGAAGTAGTAAAGAACTCAAGTGTTGTAGAAGACTAGGATGTATATTTAATGTCACCAGACTGCAAAGACAGAATTACTGGATTATTATAGCCATTATTACTGTTGTTCTAGTTTCTTTAAAACGCGTTTCTTGTAATTTGCAGTTTCGAATAAACAAAAAAAAATAAATAAGAAAACATAAGTAGAAGAATGTTTCTATTAAATGCGAAAACACAAGAAAATAATTGAATGATACAGGGGATTTTTTAAGCATCATTACCTTTAAATCTCTCTCTCTCTCTCTCTCTCTCTCTCTCTCTCTCTCTCTCTCTCTCTCTCTCTCTCTCTCTCTCTCTCTCTCTCCCTCCCTCCCTCCCTCTCTCCCTCCTTCTCCCTCCTTCTCCATCTCTCTCTCTCTCTCTCTCTCTCTCTCTCTCTCTCTCTCTCTCTCTCTCTCTCTCTCTCTCTCTCTCTCTCCCTCCATCTCTCTCTCTCTCTCCCTCTCTTTCTCTCTCTCTAACTCTCTCCCTCCCTCCATCTCTTTCTCTCTCTCCCTCTCTCTCCCTCTTTTTCCCTCTCTCTCCCTCCCTCTAACAAAAGAAAAGAATATAAATTTTACAAGTGGGAGAAAAATAATAAAACAGATAAAAGAGATAAAGAAAAGAAGAAAACGAGTATAAAAATACAAACAATGAAAAATGTCGCAAGATATCACATGAAATCCAGAAATAAGATACTAGAAAAGGAAAATAATTACTCATTATGTAAATACTCTGAATATGCAAGAATTAAATATCCACAAATGCGTAAAAGGCATACAGTATAAGTAATAAATAAGACAGAAAAGGTAGAAAAAAGAAATAAAATACAAAGCAGGAAAGAGTATTTAAAAAGGATTTATAATAAGCTAAAACGCACTGTATATTAAGTAAAAATAAAAAAGAATAAAAAAATAGAATAAATAAAAACAAAAGGAAATTAGAGACGGAAGAATTAGATGATAAAAGATAACGCAATAATTAACAGGAAAAGAAAAGGGGGGGGGGAAATTATACCAAAAGAGTAATAGTAACAAAGAAAAAAATTATTCCCAGAAATGCAGGAGTAACACAACAGAAAAAAAAATTATGAAATAAATCAAAAGAAAAAGTGACGAAAGAGAGACTGAAAGACTAACGAAGGAATATGATAACACAAAGAATAGCACAGAATGTAAAAAAAAGAAATAAATAAAAATAGATAAAAATAAAATATAAATAAGGTTTGAGGATTCTCATAAATGCAAAAGATAAATAAGAGGGATTAAGAATGATGAAGAAAGAAAAGAACTGATAAGCATGGAATCTGATAAGAAGTGAATTTCCATAACAAGCAAAACAAAGGGGGGGGGGGGGGTTGCCACGTATGCAAAAGAGAAATGAAAAATTAACCCAAGAATAAGAACAAAAGAATACAGTGAAATCAGAGCAGAGGGAAAACGATAAGAAAATGATAATAAACAAAACAACAAACATGAAAAAATATATTACCACAAATACAAAAAGAGAAACAGAAGGATAAGAAATACAAACAAAATAACACAATCAGAAACCAAACAAACAGATCGACAAGGGGAAAATGAGAACGAAATATTTAGAAACAAAAAAACAAAAACAACAATCGTGAGTTAAAAGGAATCCCCATAAAGGCACAGGAGAAACGAGCGCCTGAAAATTCCCAAACCGGCGACCGCGCCCGCCCGACCCAGGCACACACACGCACACAACACACTCTCCGAAAACTGTCCACAAAAAAACTCGCTCAATTTATGAATTTCCTTTTAATTGCCGTGCATCAAACTATTAATTCGAATAGTCAGGCCCAACATATCTGCCACAGAGCCGAGCGAGCGAGTCCAGACGCACCATTTAACAAGGGTAGTCGATACAAAAGTGTGTTTGATGAAAGTTACACAGCGGCGGAAAGGGGTCTATCGTGTGTAAAACCTTCCCAATTAACGTATTGGGATGATACTCAACTTGCTCCCATAAACAATGGGGGGGGGGGAATGGATGGGGGAGGAAGGCGGAATAGGAGAAGGGGAGGAAAGGGGAATAAGGGAAAGGGAAGGAGAGGGGGGAGAGGGGAAGAGAAGGAGGGGGAGAAGGGGAAGGGGAGGAAAGGGGAATAAGGGAAGGGAAGGAGAGGGAGAGGTAAAGGGAAAGAGAGAAGGAGAGGGGAAGGGAAGGAGAGGGGGGGAGGGGGAGGTGGGAGGGGAAGGGGAGGTGGGAGGGGAAGGGGAGGAAAGGGAAATAGGGGAAGGGGAGGAGGGGGGGAGAGGGGAAGAAGGAAAGAGGAGGAGGGGAAAATGGGGAGAGGGGACAAGGAAGAGAGGGAGATAGGGAGAGGTAGGATTGGGGGAAGAGAGGAGGAAATAGATGAGATGAGAAGCGATGGGGAGAAAAGACATGATAGAAGATAAGGAATAGGAAGGAGAGGAGTGAGGGATGGAGAGAAGGAAGAAGCTAGGAAGAGCTGGAGGACTGAGGAAGCGAGAGAAGGAAAAAGGGGCATGAGGTAAAGACTCAAGGGGAGTTAGGGTAGGGTATGGATGAGATAGGGAGGGGAGTTGAGAAGACGAAAGAGAAGAGGGAGAAGAAGGGGAGTGGATGGGCTGAGGGGGGGGGAGGACCTGAAGAGATATGGAGAGTCAAGGAAACGAGGGGTAGGGGCGTCGGGAGAAGGGAAAGAGATGGCCGGACTGAGGTGGGGGCTAGGGAAGGGAGGGGAGGGGACAAGGGAGATGGGATAGGGGGGGAGAGACCTGGAGGACTCAGACACACCGAGGGGAGAGAGACAGGGGGAGGCTACGGGAAGGGGAGACACGGGCGGAAAAGGGGGCAAGGTGGGGGGAGAAGAGGGGAAAGGAGGAGAGGGAGAAAGGAGAGAGGGGGGGGGGAGGAGGAGGGGCTTTGGGCAACCCTGACAGCCCGTTTGATTGCAACGGGCGAAGTCAACAGCGAAAATAACCGACCGCCCAATACACTAACTTTTGAAAACGTCCCACTCAATGTTAAATCCCTCTCCCTCCCGTGTTAAAGTATCTTTTAACAAGATACATGGCATTCTATTGACAGAAATGCGGCGATATTTTACGTGTATTAGTTACATCCAACGGGAAAAAAAAGCTCAATTGCTCTTGCTGATTGGAATACCTGAACGAATTGAAAAAAAAAAAGTTTGAAAAAAAAATAAATATGTAAAGACGAAACGCCTTTGATGATTGAGTGTTGAAAGGGTATGATTTAATAGTATACTGATATCAGGCTTGTGTTTATAAGGTGATATAGATGAATTACCAAAAGTGATAGTTACAAAGTGAGGTTTATTGGTAAAATAAGGTAAATAATAACAGTGAAGAAAAAAACATCTTTTGTCGCTATTGCTGTTGTTGTTAACATTGTTTTAATTGTATTTGTTATTGCTGTTGTTGCTGTTGTCGTATTTATCTGTATCATTACTGACTAACATTTTTTATCATTATTATTATTACTATTATTATTATTATTGTTGTTGTTGTTGTTGTTCTTGCTATAATTATTATATTTATTATCATTATTATTGTTGTTGTTGTTATTATTATTATTATTATTATTATTATTATTATTATTATTATTATTATTATTATTATTATTATTATTATTATTATTATTATTATTATCATCATCCTTACTATTATTATCATTATTATTATCATTATTATTATTATTATTATCATTATAGTTATTATTATTATTATTATTATTATTATTATTATTATTATTATTATTATTATTATTATTATTATTATTATTATTATTGTTATTACTATTATTATTATTATTATTATTATTATTATTATTATTATTATTATTATTATTATTATTATTATTATTATTATTATTATTATTATTACTATTATTACTATTATCATTATCATTATTAATGCTATTACTATTATTGCTATTATTATTATTATCATTATTATTATTATTATTACTATTATTATTATTATTATTATTATTATTATT